CTATTTGTTCAATTATATTTTTTATTGAGTCCTTATATCTTTTACTGTGCTTGTTGGGTATAACTTCTATAAGTAAGGAAGTATATATTAGTGAATAATGTAAATAGATAAATAAAATTAATAGATAAAGTCTTTTTAATAATAAAAATTCAACTTAATTAATTCGAGTTTTTGATCTTGAATCAGTCTCAGATTCAATGTAATAATATATGCTACAACTAGCATTACAGTTAAGATAAATCGTTCAGAAATTAAAAAAAATTATCAATCTATTAGGCCATACAAACTTAATAAATTGGTTTTCATAACATATGACCTGGCAACCCGGCTTTTAATTTTATTTTCAAAAAATTTATATATAAAAAACGTAAAATTTTTTAGAAATTTTTTTAAAAAACCCACTGAGGTAGTAAATATACTTAAAAATTTTTTTTAAAGTTTTGTAAAATTTGACCCGGCCGGGTTATGCGAACTGATTTATTAAGTTTGTATGGCCTTATCTAAAAATTATAATAATAGAGAACAATAAATACGTAATATACCTATCTGTAAATTTTCAATGCTAAATCACAAAGCTATACCTATTGTTAAAAATATTTAAATCCAGGAAATTAAGCAGTGCTAAATCAATATAATAAAAGTAAAGATATTTATGTACATACATACGTATATAAAATCTTGTGTACAACATATATAATTACATTGTTGATGCAAATCCTATCTAAAATGGTAACTAACTCTAATTAAGTATAAATCTGCGGATTTCACCCTGTCTATTATTTCTATTTATACTTACTATATTAAGATGAATAAATACTATCCAAGTATTTTTCATTTTTTTTTAAAAACATTAATCTTTTAAATAATATAAGACTTATTCGTGTTCTCTTGGCAGTTATTAAATTTCCTGCGTCTGAGAAAAGTCTTTCACTAGCTGTTGAAGATGCATAAACAGCTAAATATTTTTTTGCTAGTTGGCTCATAACTGGGAATTTATTACGTCGTTCATGCCACTATGCAAACGGATCACAATCAAAATCAATCTCCTCGAGCTTTAAATAATCTGAAAGCTCCTCAACTGTAGCTGATGTATATTTTTTGAAACTGGAAAGAATGCTATTTTTAGCATTTTTTCCAGTAGAAGTTGATTTAACTGCTGGTCTAG